GACAGTGCCAACCGAATTGTGCTGACAGCCTTCTTCTGGATTGTACTCCACTCTGATTCTTTCATATCACTTGGCTTCTCATCTTGCAATGCTAAATCAAGACCTTGCTGGACCAAATAGTCTTGAATCGTGCATTGCCACAACACGAAGTCCGCTCTTCCATCAAATAACGGAACTTCAAACTTCAAGGTAGTCATAGTTCCACTCAAGCAGCAATCAACCAATACCAAACAATCCAAATTTGAGGAAACTAGCCTCAAAAATGGAATCGGGACGTCAAAATTAGTCAGAACCAACTTCTCTCCAAAATCACCAACGAGACCCACACGATGACTGGACCTGCTGACGTGACAATGGGACCCACTGATGACTGGACTCGCTGACGTGGTGCTGACTGGATGATGACGTGGCACTCGGACCCACAAACTGCTGACGTGGCACTCACGGACCCACCTCTGCTGACTGGACCACCACCTCCTCTGCTGAAGTGGCACTCCCTCCTCTTGCTCCTTGCTCTATCTCCTTCCTCCCTAGACTGCAACTCTGTAATTAATAATTCTTTTCTGATGTGGAAGATCAGTCAAAGCTGCAACCACAGAGCATACTAAGAATTATAATTACTAGATCACCCGGGCAAAAAAAAGAGCACACAATTTTTAACGTGGTTCGGCACCTCAAGACCTACTCCACGACCCCCTCTGAGATAAAATCTTACTAGTAATTTTTGCACGGAAAAATTACAAACCCTCTTCAATATTTGACACTCACAACCTAAAATCTAATACACAATTATATAGATTGAAGGATTGTGTTGTGTGATGGAAGCCTATATCCCCTCTTTATTTATAGGCTCCAATCCCTCCTCAATTTTCCTATCCCACCGATGTGGGACTTTGAAGTAACACTCAACAAACACCACAGCCAAAAAACCCTACTTTATATTTATAGTAGTATTTGAACCCGTGCCAACGGGTTTGAACGCATGTTATTTTTAATTCTACTAATTTTTTGTTTTAAGTAAATAATTTTAAAATAAAGGTAAATATAATATAGAATGTTAGATACGACATAGTCATATTATGCTAACTTAAATTCATTTATATAAATATTGAAAAGGACGTATAAATGTATTAATTAAATCCAATTTTTTTGGAAAACTTCAAGGTAAATTGAAACCACATTTTTTGTGTAATTGCAAGGGTTCCTGTTGACATCAAAAACTATTTCGAAAAGGGTTCCCGTTGAAACCTCTCATCCCAAAAGAAACTGAAGCCACCACATTTTTTGTGGTACTTCCAACTCATATTTCTATGTGCTAGATTTAGCATGCTTCAATTACCTTCTGGCTATGGAATCGCCGCCATCTTGGGCTAGAACTGCCCGCCATCTTTCATCACTAAAAGCCAATCCGTATTATATTAGATCTCTATAAAGCTTGTCGGGCATGATCGTATCTTCGACCTCCATTGGTTGTAGGAACACTTAAAAATCTTATCAAATCAAAACCACCCATTTCCTCAAATAAGTTGAAACAATCAACAACTATAGGCTCCAATTACTAATGCATTAACGCCAATTACCTCATCCATTTGTCAAAGATATCCATTTGTTTAGCAGCAACTAATTCTTCAACAAACCTAACATCAAAAATAAAAACATCATCATACGCACTAAGAATTAGGACCAAACGACCACCGAGTCATACTAAAAATAAGCACAAAAAAATTTGAAAAATTATATGATGAACATCAAAAATAAGTTTGAACAATAAAAAATCTGTTTCAAATAGCCCAACAGCCTCAGAATAGCTCCAAACAGCTTCCTAATTGAACAATTAAGCATCTTTGAACAGCCTAGCAATAACATGCCACAAATATTTTTGGAAGTAAATATTATTAGAAATAGAAGAAAAACTTCCATTTAAAAAGAAGCAAAAACTTTTAACTTTATTTGGAAAAGAAATTACTCGGATAAATGTACACAACTATCCACACTTCTTGCATGAAGAAAAGAACCCTTATAAGTAGACAAAGCAGTGTATATCAACAATTTTTGAAACCCAACCAAATTTGTTTTGACACCGGAGGTGGATTCGTGAACATATTTGAAATGTGAAAAGGTTAAGACGTGAGTGTGAAAACATTACAAAGAACTCTATGAATGAATGAAGGCAAACTGGAAACTTGTCGTTCAACATAGGGCTCACAGGATCAATATTTGATACATTTGGAGATTTCGAGAACCTAAGCATAGTGTAAGTGAACATCATATTACTAACTTGACCTTGATTATGATGTGTATCCCCAACCCCCGTAAACTTGTTTGTTCACATTTCTGAATTCTTGGAGGGTGCCTCAATTCAATGAGTGCTTCAAAGTGGACCCGACCTGTTTTTGACCCAGAACCCGACCTAAAAACACTGAGTTTTGAACAAAGGTTTTGATGACCGAACCCGAAATGACCCGCTAAAAATGGGTCAAACCTGACCGAACCCGAACCCGACCTGACTGATCCGCTAAAGTAATGATTTTTCAAATTTATACACTTTACTACTCGTTTTTAGAGTATAAATTTATATTTTCAGACAAAATTTTAATGATATTACATAATTATCTTACTTTTTTTTCTCCAAAACTTTAGCATATATAAATTCCTTATATTGATTTATATATCTAAAAGTTACTCCAAAGTTTAAAATAAAATAATTTTATAGATTTAATACATTTTTTTGATATTTTAAATTTATTTAATAGAAAATGTAAGTGTTAATGTGAATTTAAAAATTTAAAAAATCAAAGTCAAAACCCGTTGGGTCGACCCCAACCCGATGACACTGGGTCATGAACATACACTTTTCAACCCGAACCTGAATTGATCTGAACCTGAAATAACCCAAACTTAAAGTAACTGATCCCCAATCCAACGTCTGACCCATTTGCCAGCTCTACCTCTAATCAATAAATCAAACTCAATATTAAGAAAAACCTCAATCAATACCAGAGAAGTAATAAATACAAATCAATATTAAGAAAAAGAATATTGCAACATCATTTTTAAAAATATGCTACAAAAAGAAAAGAATAAAAAGATAAAAGGCATTAAAGGATAAAACCAAAACAACAAAGGATACATTGATCTTTATGTATTTTAGCTCCAAAATACATAAAGAAACCCAAAAGTATTGTTTTTGTATTTTAGGACATTTTTTTAGAGAAAAAAAGACAAAAAGAGGCAAAGCTTTAACTTGAAAAAAATAATGCCAGAGTACAATTTAGAACATTAAGCAACTCAATCTACAACTTCAAGTCTTCACCGGATTAAGCAAAAAGGACATTAAGAGGCAAGCATCTCACTCACATAATAAAGGGATATGTGACAAATTAAGGCACAATTTAAGAATAATATGAAGGTAGATGACCTGGTAACAGAAACACCAAAGCCTAAGAAAGTACAAAGACAGAGACGTACTATCCGAGTGAGATGGATAATACCTTGAGGGTTTCAGTGAGATGAAATTGACCACAAAAACCATGTGATCACCCGAAGGAACATTAAAACCAAAAATTGATTTCGAAGTCACTAAGCACACAAATAGTCCTCACAGAAAATTTGAAATCACATTCAAAAAACCAAAGAATATATGGAGTATAAGAATATTTGGGGAAAGAATAAAGAACCCTAACAATTTGGGGAAAATAAAATTAATGCAAATTTACCCAAGATCAAAATTTTGAACCCGTGCCACGCACGGTGTCGAACAAATTTTTTTGTCGATTCTAAATAAAATTTAATGCAATATTTTTTCAAGAATAAAGAAAATATACTTCTCGCATGATATTTAATATCATAGAAAAAAACCAAAGTGGAATAAATAATATTTGAGGGATTGATTGTGTACAACATAAAAAAAATTTAATACCAAATTTTCTGAAATACTTCATGCTATACAAAAGATATGTTCATTGTTCTTATTATTATTTTAAAAAAATTAAAAATAAATTTTAAATTTTACCATTTTCTTTTTGTTAAGGAAAAGAATTTGAGTATAATTTCTTTTTTTAAATAAATTTCAACAACATGTTTTTTTAATTTTTTTTATTAATTTATTAAGTTATTTTTTTAATTTTTGGAAAAGTCAAATTATTATTCAGATATTTTCTTTTTTAATATAAATAAGGTATGTGTTATACTCAAAAAATGCATTATTTTTCCATTCATATTTTTGTTGCATTTTAATATACATAGAATACATTTCTATTTTCAAAAAGATTTTCAAATATCAAATTTATATTATTCAATTTTATTTTTAAATAAAATAGTGTTTGGGTATGATATAGTTTTTGGTTTCAAATAAACATTAGAGTATTTTTTTTCATCAATATTATGGTCGTTTATTTTTTTGGTCAATTCAAGTTGCTAGTAGGTTTTTCAATAGTGTAGAAGTATTTGAAAAATAATGTTAACCTCAAAGATGTTAAAATTTGAGGTGTGCATGAATACTTTTTATCATTTGTTTTCTTTTTAATAAAAATAAGCCATGTGCTATGTAATAAACATTGCAATGGGGATCGTATATAATTTTTTTGCCGTTTAACCTTCGTGGTATAAACATGTATATGAAAATTATTTAAACCTTATTATCAATTAATATCTTAGAGGCCATCAATTTAAGCGGCATCAATTTCTTACTCTGTATATAATATTCTTTAAATTTTACTCAGTTATTACGCGGCGTTGAGATGTTAAAGTTTTGCCAAATAGACATGCCAAATGTCGAATTGCTGTATATTGGAGTCTCCTTTATTATAGTAAAGGATTATTTAATTTAAATATTTTCCAATAAAGAAATAAAATATAAAAAATTTTAAACGCGATTATGCTGAGAAATCTGTGTTTAACAAATACGAAATTCAATTTCCATAAAATAAGTGTTTTTGTTAACTAATTCTTTAAATATTACTTGCTGACAAGTCAAAAAAGTTGTCTAATAAGCGTTCCACATGTCACAATCCTAGAAGCCCAACTCTCAAATTTTATATATAAAGATTTACTTTAGTCCTACTAATCTATCCCTTCTTGGAATAAATTTGTTTGTTTTGATTTTTTTAATATGAGTTCCTTGTTTAAATACTACGTATCAAAATATATTATTAAATTTTAATATTTTCCAAAAATGAAGTAAAATATAAAAGTTTTTAAACACGATTATGCTGAGAAATCTGTGTTTAACAAATACGAAATTCAATTTCCATAAAATAAGTATTTTTGTTAACTAATTCTTTAAATATTACATGTTAACATGGCATGCTGACATGTCAAAAAAGTTGTCTAATAAGCATTCCACATGTCACAATCCTAGAAACCGAACTCTCAAATTTTATATATAAAGATATATATATATATATATATATATATATATATATATATATATATATATATATAGGGGCTAGTTCAAGTGAGAATGCACCTTGGTGAAAGAAATAAGAATAAAATCTGACCTTTGCATCTGATGCATCGTGCGGCTCAGATTGCATTCTGCACTCAAATTTTGAGATAGTGCATTTTCAAATCATCTTGGTGCACCTAATTTTGATGCAATACTAACCCTTAGATCTCCCAATCTAATGCATCAGATTCATTATTATTTCTTTCATTAGATTGCATTCTCACTTGAACCAAAATCTTATATATATATATATATATATATATATATATATATATATATATATATATATATATATATATATATATATATATTATATATATATATATATATATATATATATATAATTTGGTTCAAGTGAGAATGTCATCTAATGAAAGAATTAAGAATGAATATCCACCCTTCGATCTTTGCAAATTTTATTTTTGATCTGTGCCACCCAAATATACCGATATGGACAAATTTGTACTTTCACAAACTTCGTTCTTTCTTGAGTCCCCTTCCGAAAACATTGCGCTGAAACTACTTCCATTCACGCAAATCACTTCCGGATTTCTTGCTATTCATTTTTTAGTGATTTTACATATTTTCTTTTTCCATTTGAAAGGGATGATTACTGATTGCTTTGAAGAAATCACTCTATGTAGTACTCTAACTCATCGAATACTACGCATTTAGCACTGCTTATTGTTTTTTACCAAATTAGCTATTTCTATTGTTAATCTCTTCCAATCAATTTCTTTTATCTATCCCACTATCAATTGTTTCAATTCCTTTTTCAACTCATATATCAAATTCAGACTCACATAATGTATACTTTGTGGATAGTGACATAGTACTCTTTTTTATCAAATTCTTTCTTCAATCAATTAAATGTAGTTTTGAATAAATATGTATAATAAAAATACGATATATCAAAATTATATCATAAAAATATGGCAATTATAAATACCTCCTTCATCCCAAAATAGGGCTGTTATTCGATTTACGATGTTTGATTGAAGTTATTTTCAAATCAATATAAGTAAAAATTGGTGTATAATTTAAAAAAATAGGAATTATATATTAAAAAACTACATAAAAAATTCTATAAACAGGTGGTGACAATGGGACTTACATATAAAACTACCAATGTTATAAATTATTATTTGACTTTCATATTGTGCAAACACCTTGCGGTTGATTTTATGACAATAGGGTTTTACCATGAAAGAGATCGTTATGAAATGTGTTACTCAATATGGTGGCTATAAATATTTTGGGAGTACGGATTGATCATTCTGCAAACACTTCCTAGCAGTGAATTTGTCTTCTATTTATAATGTGGCAGACAAGAGTAAAAATATGGCAGTGTATAAAAGTTCGCGGCCTAAACAAATTTGTATGTACTTCATTAACTTCCATTAATAATATGGCAGTAAAATCAGACATACATATAAAACTGCCAATGTTATGAATTACGAATTGAGTTTCATATTGTGCAAAAGCCATGTGCTTCGTTCTATGACTATTGGATTTGAACATTCAAGAGTTCGTTATGGAAACGTGTTACTGAATAGGGACTGATGGGAATAATCAACTTCTAGCTACACTTTTTGGAAATGTCCAATGACCATGTTTGCCTAGTGTGTTTTGGTCAAATGAGATTTATATCTAAAAATCCTAATGTAATGAATTATTCATTGAGTTCCATTGGAGGCGGATACAAAAAAATCACCAAAATGACTAGTGCTTGAATAACTTTAATAAACAAAGTATGAAGTGTAAGCTCAAAGATTTTTGGCAGTGTGGAATGCTTGTGATCTAGGTATACTTTTTGGCAGTGTGTTATGTCCTATGTTTTGGCCAGTGTGCTATGTTGCACAATTCTACATAATGTTGCAGTGTATGCTACTTACAAAGTCTTAAAATTTACAACATAATACCTTCCATTATCCATTTATTTTTAGTACCACATAAATGAAATTGAACATATGTCTAATACTAACATCTTCTAACATTATACAAAATCAAAAAAGACCAAAAAAAGCTAAGCCCATGTTTGGCCAGTGTGTTTTGGTGTAATAGATTATTCATGAAATCAGTCATACATTTTTGGGCAGTGTGGAATTCATAAATAAAAATAGTCATATACATTTTTGGCAGTGTGGAATTCATACATGAAAACAGTGTGGAATTCATACATAAAAATAGTCATATACATTTTTGGCAGTGTGGAATTCATACATGAAAATAGTGTGGAATTCATACATAAAAAGAGCTATACATTTTTTGGACAGTGTGGAACTCATAAATGAAAATAATCATACACTTTTTGACAGTGTAGAATTTATACATGAAATCACTGCCATATAAATCAATGGACATTACACTACAACATGAAATTAAGGAACACAATAATACATTTACACACTGTCGTAAGATATAACAGCATATATCCATTCTACACTGCCACATTAAATACTCACATATAAAAAACTACACTGCCCACAACACAATTACGAGTGAACAACCACACTGCCTAAAACAATCATATATTTTTGGCAGTGCATAATGAATATTTTCTATTTAATTAAAGGTCAAAATCGGAATCATATTTCTGAAACATGCATATAGCACTGCTATTTAGAGTATTTTAGTGCTCTAAGAGTGCTATTTTGGTTTTTCTCCCTTGCCTTGTATAGTTTGGCTTTTTTCCTTTCTTTTTTTCTTTTTGTTTATTTTTCTATTATTGTACATTATGAGAGTCAAAATAATGTCTTTTCATGAGATTGCAATGCATTCTCATAATTAAAGTAAAAAATTATGCATTCTATTTTTGTGCATTCTCATAATCAAAGTTCATATATGCATCTAATGGTGAAATTCTCTTGACACAAATGTGATGCATCCTTATATTCTAGATAGTGAAATTTCTGCAAATGACAATGCATTTAAAGTGGTCTGTGATACATTTGAGTATAGGTTAGTAATGCGTTGAATGATGCAAATTGTAAAAATTAGAAATGCAAATTTAATAGGTCCAAGTGCAAGATGAGAGTCTTTTTGAAAAACAAATTCTTGCATATTAGCTCAAATGGTAGAGTGATATTTCCTACGAATCTGAGTTTGAATTTTCCATAGGCAAATATGTAATACACTTATTCTAAATACATTGCGTTCTTAGCCATTCTCATTTCATAGAAAGTCACTTAGAAGTTATTATTCACTAATTCACAAATTAATAGAATAAAATTGGAATATAATCTAAAAGATAAATTGCAGTGCATATAACGATAGACAAAGTGCATTCGCATTAGATAAGTATTTGTGGATATCACAATGCATCTCCGCGAGACATGTTTTAAAAAGTGTCATATTAAAAACCATTTTTAAATTAGATGCATTTTCAAGTATATAACTTCACTCTTCTTAAGCATCGTGTCGAGTCAAACACGGAGTGTTAATTAGGGGCGGATGGAATAGCATTAAGAGAATGTTATATCTTGAAATATTGGTCTAAAAATTATTGATGCATATTTCTTTCGTTATATTATAAAGAAAAAAGTATTTATAAATTATATTTTTCTTACATTGAGAATGAGAAGAAGATAAGAATAAAGTTTTATATACAATATTGGTGTTATTGTGTACGAAATATACAATATCTCGACCAGAGATTTCTAACAATATATTAATTTTAAAAAATAAATTTGTGTACGAAAAGTTGTGTACAAATTAAACAATCTAGTAGAATTATTAAATTAAACAAAATTAATATGGAGTATTTATTTTAGCCCCATGCAATTTATATTTTATACTAGGTATAATAGTGGTAGTACAAGCCTAACAATTGTGGATGTTATACTCTAATAATTACGGTGAAAGAGCATCAATGTATCTAATTCTTTTAGAATGCCGTTGAGAGTGCATGCATTTCCATTTATGCCCTCCCTCAACTACTTAATGCGAAATTTTATACGTGGGTCAATTCTTTCCTAATAAATGCTTTTAATATTTTCACTTTAACACCCACATACCTGTGCGACTAATAACCGTCGGATGCATCTGATCTCACGTTTCTCCTTCATTCTTATTTCTTTCACCAAGGTTCATTCTCACCTGAACCGGCCCATATATATATATATATATATATATATATATATATAATATTATAATTAAAGAAATGATCCTAAAGAAGAGTAAAACATAGTGAATGTGCTAAAATAAGAGTTTCATATTTTTATTTCCTAAATATGAGTTCGAAATGTGGTAATGTAGCACTGTACATGAGTATTTTACTATACTTTTTAATTTGGTAATATACATGGTCATGATTCGTAATGTAAATACATTTTAACACTTATTTTGAGAATAAAAACATGAAATTCCTATTTTAGGATATTTTTCAATGTTATACTCATACTTTAGTTTTTTTTCTTATAATTATGCATACTTTTTTCACAACTTTTAATCAAAGTGTGTCACTATTTAGGTAAAAAAGAGTCAAAACAGGAAAAGTTTTTAGAATTGGAGGGAGTATAACTTTTTCTTAGTTGAATCAGATGGGACCACTGACCACCGATCACAAACACATTGAGATGATCAGAGGAAGGGAACATAGCCTAAATAGTAAAGCGAAGTTTGATATACCCATTGTGTTGATTTAGTCACACGCACTATGATACTCTAACTACGTACAAATCAGTCTGTGCAAAGCAGGAGATTAATAAATTTAATTAATGTTTATCGTGAGGTTTATAAATGCAGAATAGCAGTAAATGGGAAGAAATTAAAAAAAACCAAACAGCATGCATGAGAGCACAAACATATAGCTTAACTCGATCTGATCCATCCTGATCACGCACTCTTGCGGTTTGAATAGTAGACTCTGAGGGCCTTTGGGAGGTAAACTGGGAGCAGAAAACAGAACAAGTAGAAGCTCCAAAATGCCATATTTGCTAATGCAAGAGCTCTCCCAATGTATAATCTTCGACCGCGGTCCTCTTCCCCCACCCCCACCGCTCTGTTACTGTTGGAAATCATCTCACTCCTAACCCACTCGACGATGCTGAAAATCCTCCTCGAGTTGTAAAACACCGGCACGAAAACTCGGACCGGAAGCGAGAACCGGTTGGTGGAGGAGGCAACCCCCTCCACGAACACCTGGCTTGCCAAGAGAAATACGTGCGGGGCTGTTACCTTTATCCCCTCTTTATCTCCCTCCAAAATACCTGCTTTCATTCAAACTAATTACTCCTGTTCCATGAAATTCTTTCTGAATTTGACTTAGCACGAATATTTGAGAAAAATTAGAATATGTAAAGATTTTTAATATTTGTTCTTGATGTAATGGAACAAAGTAAATAGTGTAGATAAAAGATAGGAATATAATGACACATTCATTCAAGTTTTATTGCCAACATAGGAAATGAGAAAGAAATTTTTGGAAAACTCAAAAAGGGGTGGAAAGCGAGTTAAATTGCATTTACAATTCCAATCACGCCATGATATAATGCCAAATGGTATTGTGAAATATCCATGTGCAGTGCCACATTATTACAGTGCAAATTTCTATTTAGGGCATTAAAATATGGAGCTCCTATAATGGTATATTCTCTATGTTTTACTCGTATTTAGAGTAATATCTTGTAAGGCTTTGTTCTTTTGGGTTACAAAAATTAACTTTCAGCTTCTTTCAATTCGTTTTAGTTTCGAAATTCCAAATCCTTCTAATTTTTCCAACAATTACTTAAAAGGTATTTATATATGATTAATATAAAATAAAATTATATATCCAAGTTTAGAATATATCACCTCGATCAAATACGGACAATGATGAATTCTTTTGTATCCAATATTAAAGTTTTTTTAATATATTTATTTGGAAGATCATTTAATTGAGTGACTTTTTAAATCTTCCAACATTTTCCAAGTCTTTCCAGTTTTTTCCAACTCTTTCCAGTTTCTTCCAACTCCATCCAATTTCTTTCAACATCTAACTCTAAAATTTTAACTTTAAAGAACAGGGCCTACGAAATTAATTTTATCGTTATTAATTTTTACTCTACCTAACACATCACATTTATGCATTATTACTCTAACCATCATATTTTATTTTTACATATCACAAATCACATACTCCCTCCGTCCCATAAAGATTTACTCCTTTCATAAAATTTTTGTCCCACAAACATTTACACATTTGCCTAAAAATGACATTCCTACCCTTAAACCTAATTTCTACCCCCACCCTCTTACCCCACCCACCATCCATTCATCCTCTCTCCTACGCATCCCCTCATCCATTCATCTTCTTTCCTCTATCCCTCTCTGTGGCTGCTGTTCCTCTTCCCCATCCCCGCCGGCACCCTCAAGAATTCACTAAAAATGGTGGGTCGCGATCCTACCATGCCCTCCTTCAAGCTTTTAAGCGATAGCGAAGATGAAAGGGCATCTCCCTAGCCACATCCTAAATCTAAAAAATCATTGATACCTCCTTACGACTCTGGTGATAGCGCATCTGGCACGGATGATACAGATCCGACGTGGTGGTATCGGAAAAAATATTTGGGGGGTGACTTTTTTCCGTCTGAGGATGAAGGAGGCAGAGTCGAATCTGATGGGGAAGATGAGGAATCAGTAACTTCTGCCCAGATCTTGGAGATGTCTGATACAGAAATAATTTTCGCTGAGCCCTATGGAGATGATGCTAAAGCACTGCGTTTCAGACAGAGTATTATGTTCTTCCTCTTTAGATTCACATACGATTAGTACTTGCATGTCCCATTATATACTCCGTATAATATTTATTGGCAAACTTATGATGCAAACAAACTTTGTGTGAATGGTTGGAAGTCTGTGAGCTTTTTTGGGTTTAGCTATATTGTAATGTGACCCCCTATGGGTTGGAGACTTACAACAGTGTATTGGTCTGGTCTACCATATTGTTTTTTCTGTGAGAGGGGCTTGGTGATGAAAATTTGGGGTTTGATGGTGAATTGGGTGAATGTAATCCCTGTTTGAAACATATGGGCAGTTGAGTACTCCACTTGCTATAATATTTTGCTTTACACTAAACATGGACTTAGGGCAGGTCCTACACTTGATTACAACATGGATTGCCTCTTTCTAATTATCTGGTTCATTTACAACACTTGATTAGGGCAGGTCCTACACTTGATTCTATTGCCTCTATCCAAAGAACAATGCTTAGGGCAGGTCCTATACTTGATTGTGTTGCCTCTGTCTATTTCTCTAGTTCATTTACTACACTTGAACACTTGTCTCTGTCTGATTCTATTTGTTGCCTCTGTCTGATACATTTGCTGCACTTGATACACTTCATTCCAATAAAACTTTGCTGCACTTGATACACTTCATGATATACTTTTACAAAAAGCAAAAAAAGTGCAATCTCTATTGTATGCTACACTTGATCAGAATATGATATACTTTTACAAAAAGTAAAAAATGTGCAATCCCTATTATATGCTACACTTGATCAGAATATGATATACTTTTACAAAAAGAAAAAAATGGCATTATAGGCCAAGAAAAAACAAAAAAAAATGTGCAAAAGGTTCACTTGGAAGTACATATAGGTATTGTACCTTTCCTTGGCCATCTTTGCACACACAACAAAAAAAGTACTTAATCATTAAGTACTTACATATGTTCCTCTAAGAACTTTTGTGCATTCTCATACACTTCTGTGCTTACTCCCAAATTCTGTGGTAGTATTCCTTGTCTGGCCAACTTACTTTTTCCCATGTGAGGAATTTTGAATTGGTTTCCTCCATTGTGAATGAGTATCTCACCCATCACCCCTTGTAGAGTTAAGAAGACATTGTTTAGTTTGTCATGTGATAGTTCTTCAAAGGCTGTTGTCACAGAATTAACCAAGTCTGTCAATGACCTAGGAGCTGTTTGGTCTTGTACTGAGTCAATGGATCTAAAAAATCCTAGATCAAGTACATTTAGATCAGGGTTGTTGGGGGGCTGGAATTTCAATTGAATGTTCCATTCCCCTTCTTGAGCAGCTGCAACAATTTCAGGGTCATTGCCATCCAAATGAGGCTTAGCATTATCTTGTTGGATAATAATATCCCTTGATGACCAAGGCCATTTCTGCTTAATTGCAGGTATCAATTTAGTCAGTAACATTCTCTTTATAACATCTCTACTCACTGTTGGTTCAGCCTTAGTTTTCAATGTCCCTGCAGGCCTATTTTTACTAGACCTTTGAGCTGCCTGTTCAAAAGTAAATGGGAAAATGCCTATTTTCCCATCCCATAACACATCTCCACCCTCCTCATACCTTGGCCTGCCTACTGCAGCCAGGAACATGATCTTTGGTATGAAGCTTTTGCTTTGAGTGGTTCTGTAGGGGTCAGGTTCCTCTGGCAGAGCATAGAATGATGTGTTTTTTTTTGTTATTTCAAACCATTTTTCATCAATGTGAATGTGATCATAAAAATCATGAAAAGTTGGGCTTATGGGGAGTGATTGAGGAGATATATGGTCAAGACAGAATTTCAGTCTTTTTTGCTTACCTGACTCACATAAGTATGGCTTTATAGCACTAGAATGTCTCTTTATCTCTTTGCGCTTTAGCCATCTGTGGACTGTGGATTTTGAAACCTCCATAGCAAAGCTAAGTGCACGCATGTTCTTGCGTCTAGAGAGCGAGATAGCTGCCAGTTTTTCCATGTCTACAGGGACCCTTTTTCTGCCACAACTTCCTTTCCAATGGCATTGAACATCAATAGGTAGGCCAGAGTCCAATTGAGCTTTAGCAATTTGCCAAATTTTTCTCGCAGTTTTCCTTGTAAAGCTGAATTTCTCAGCAACTTTGCTGATTAAACCGTGCTGAAGTTTGCCATCCTTAGACTTTTCTAGTAAAACATCAGCAACTCTTTTTCTTTTTTGATTAAGTTGAGCTCCTTTACTCTGTGCTTCTGTTTCTGTTTCTGTTTCAGGGGTGAAAAGGTTGTCGAAGGGGACTTCTATAACATCGGGTAGATGGTGCAACGATGAGGAGTCATGTGTCGATAAAGACGAAGGTGAAGAAGGCTGCTCGGGAGGGGGCATTGAAGGCAACCAGGCCAGTAAGAAGATGAAGGTAATAAAATGAAGAAGATAGGTGAAATGAATGCATTCAATGCATTCATTTAAATATGCAGTGGCTGTATGAAGTTGTAATTTTTTGTTTTGGTTTTGGAGGGGTGTTTTGGAGGGAATATCAAATTTTCCCAAAAAAATTCACCATTTAAACAAATTTAATGAATGTAATGTATGGTGATGGTGAATGTAATCCCTGTGGTTTGAGAATTGGGCAGTACGGGTGCTGGATTTGGGGCATGATTGCCCTGCCGTATTTAATGGGATGAGTACTCCACTTGCTATAAAATTGTGCTTTACACTATTCATGAGTTGATTGTCATTCTACTTTTTGATTAGGGTTGGGAGGTAAATTGGGGAAGTCAAAGCAAAAAATTGGTCTTCTTATTTTGCTAAAAAGTCAAAACGGGTAAGACTCAAAGGGACGGAGGGAGTATAAAGTAATTTCACAAGTCAGAGGCCAGGAAAAATAATTCTCCTTATATCAATAGAAAGACTATGAAAAATGTTTTTAGGAGAATTAAAGGGATCCAGTATAATAAATGAAATAGGTTGAAATAATTAACTAACCACGGTGAAATGAAATGATAATATTTTTTAAAAAAAATTAAAATAAAAGCTTAACCATAAAAAGAAGAAGGAAAAATTATTTCAAATAATCCCACCTTTTCACGCTCCTTTAAAAATAATCTCACTTTTCACTGTTACCGGAAATAATTCGACCTTTTCGCATGTGTGCGAGTTTTGGGTCGCCGTTAAAAAACTAACGACCACTTAACTGAAGTTTTAGAAAATGTCTGTTTTCCACAAATAAATGAAAAGTGAGATTATTTTAGAAAAATTTACTTTTTACTTTTTTAATTTTAAATTTAAAATTAATATTTTTAAAAATATAACAATGCACTCTTGTTAGAGATTTGTCTAACGATTAACAAATTTTGTTTTTTTTGGGAAAATATAATATTGAATTATCAAAAATAATTCAAAGTATCGATCAAGAAAGAAATTATAATACAAAAAAATTGTAGTGATTTATAAATTTTATGGGTGCCGTTTCGGAGAAAAAAATAGTGTCATTTTCACAACTTTTGAATTACTATTTTGAAGGAAAATTTGTATTGAATTATAAAAAAATCACAAATTGGGTAGTTCCATTTTAGAAAGAAAATGTTATTGGAAATATAAGATTATCAATATATATTCCGAGGGTTCATGAAAAAATTGCAATACATTAGAAAATATAGTGAGTTATAAAAATAAAAGTTCTATTTTAGGGAAAAAATTGTTGTGTTATTTTCACAACTATTGTAATGTTGTTTCACAAAAAATATTTATATAGAACTATCGAAAAATATTCATAAGTTTTGTAGTGCCATTTTTTTAAGAAATAATAATAATATAGAATCAAAAAATAATTTGAAGTGCAGCTCAAGAAAAATACAGTAAATGCAACTTACAAAAAAAATGTAGTTATTTATGAAGTTAATAAATTAGCTCTATTGTTTAGAATAATTTATTTTCTAATTATTACCAGATTATTGATTAATGAAAAAACTAATTAGTTTCATTTTAAAAATACTTAAATTTGGTATTTTTCCAAAAAATAAAATAAAAATACATTTAAATTTAAAGTTAGAAATTAAAAAACAAAAAAGGGAGAATTTACCTAAAATAATCCCAGCTTTCATTTATTTGCGAAAAACAGGCATTTTTCAAAATTTCCATTAAGTGACCGTTAGTTTTTTAACGGCGATCTAAAACTCGCACACATGCATAATGGTGTGATTATTTCTGGTGAGAGTGAAAAGTGGAATTATTTTTTAAAGAGCACGAAAAGGTAGGATTATTTGAGATTATTTTTCCAAAGAAGAATAAATTTTATAAATGGTCTTAGTTAGAGGTGTTTTTCCATATTTAGTCCCTAATTTTTAGATATTCCACAAATAGTCTTCAATTTTTGAAAATTATTTCATAAATAGTTCTTTGGGCCAAGTATGAAAATAAATTTTTTCCACACAGTTTCTGAAGGACTGATTATGGAATAGTTTTAAAAAATGAAAGATCATTAATGAAATACTTTAAGAATTGGGTGCTAAATATGGAAAATCATGTCTAATTAAAAACATTTATACTCCCTCCGTTTTCAAAAACTCTTCCTCTTTCATTTTTTTTACTTCCAACAAAACACTTCCACTTTCTATTAAAAAACCACTTTTACCCTTACTTTTTCATACCCTACCTATCACATCATACTTTTTCTCTAATACTCAATCCATCACATCTTACTTTTACTCATCACATCAAGGGTAAAATTGGAAGTCAACTACAATTTATCACTTCCTTATTTTTACACAAAGTCAAAATAGGAACACTTTTAAAAAACGGAGGTAGTAGAATTTACCCAAAAAATTAAAGAAATAGGCTAGGAGAAATTAGTAACGGTGAAATGTAATGATAAGTGAATTAAGGTTAGGGAAAAAAAGAAACCTGACCTTCGAAAATATAGGCAATGGGAAGAAACAAACCCAGGACGGCTCCGGCGAAGAGGAAGAAGGAAAGGATCCGGTTAGTTTGGTGAAATAGGGGATCCGGTGGCAAGTCGGCCGCCGTCGAGAGAGGGGGGAATGCGACCTTGGAGATGAAATGCATATAGATGAGGGAGAACAAGACGAAGGCGAATTCTTCCATACTCACCATCCCGCTGGCGGAGAGGACAATCATTACAGCGAGGGCGTTGAGCTGCCGGAACGTAAACAGTCCTCCCCGGCCGCCGCGGCACGACGACTTGCCGGAGGAAACCCCCACCACATCATCATTTCCTCCTCCTCCTGATGTACTATTACTACTACCACTCCTCATCATCATCATCAGGTCTCTCTCTAACGACTCCTCCTCCTCCTCCTCCTCCTCCTCCTCCTCCTTTGGGAGACCTATGTCACTGCATGGCCCAACCCCGCCCGACATTATTATTTCTTTCTTATTAGCTTCTGATTAGCTAGATAGATCTAAAGATGGATATGATGATCAATATATAGGGAGTATTATATCAATATTGATGATTGATATGATAATGTTTTGTACGTTCGATAATGTGATCCTCAGATCAATCAGGGCAACCAATCAACGGAACCATTCATTTCGACTTTGATATTAGATAGGAATTTGTACGTGTGATGATGAGATTTGAAAGGAGAGGTTAACATTTGGCAACCTAGCTATGTGGTGTTTTTCTCTTAAACCTCTGTCCCAAAGTATTTGTCCACTTTTGTCTTTTTTAAATAAAATTGGTAAATTTTGACCCTAAATTAAATAAATATGATATTAGATATTGATACAAAATAGTTTTATTATTTTATCTAATTAATATACAATATATATTATTTAATTATAGATCAAAGATTGAAAATAATTGACTAACAGAAGTCAAAAATAGACAAATACTCTCTAGTTTTGCCTTGGCAATATGTGCCAACTTGTAATTGTTTCCTCCTTGTACCTTCATGATCTCTGTCATTGCTTTGCTAATTGGTAACTAATCCAAACATTGTTGAGTTTCTTAGCTTCTAAATTGGCATATGCCTCATCCACATGTTGCACAAACTCATCCAAATTTCTAATTGATGTTTGATGTTGTAATGACTGTATTGGTGCAAAGAACCCCAGGTCTAAAATATCTTGCTAGGTTTGGTGAGTTTTGTGGTTGACATGTAAGCTCAATGTTGTAACCATTAGCATTGGCTGCTTTCACAAATGAAAAGTACAAGAGAAGTCTTGAAAAATGGGTGAGTGGGGAAGGGATTCTGAAACAAATTTCTTTAAGACAAAAGCTAGCCTTCTCTGATAACATTTGTGTGGATTTGTAGTTGTCCTTCTTGTATACACCTATATAGTATGGATTTGGGTATTTGTATAGTTGCAGATAGTGATCATATGTTTGTTCTTTTGTGAAATGGAATGCTCACTATCTGTTCCAAATCTAAATGCACTCTTGTTCTACCAACGATGTATGTCCTGTTGCTACTTGCATCCAACAGTGACTCATCCATAAGTTGGTTACGACAAGTACACCAAAGTGAACTAACAGTTCTATGGCATATGTTGCATTCGTTCATGATTTCTTTAGTCGTGCCGTGCAGAAGTTTCCCATTAGTGGTATTGTGAAGGAAACAATCTAGGATAAGTCTCCTTTCCACCTTTTGTTAGGTTTCTCCTGCTTTTTTTTAATGGGAGCACTAACTTCTTCCTATTCTTCTTGTTGTTGTTCTTTTTCTGCTTCTTCTGACATGTGGGTAAATGCTGAAGGAACTACTTGAGTTGGATGGAGGGTTGAAGGAGCAAGGGCTTTTTCGCTCGTGTTAATAGAGGCCATTGTAGTTTCAATTTTTTTTGTTTTTGGATGTTTTGTATTTGCAGTAAATTGGACTAATCTATTGCATTTTGGTTATATAAACTAATGGAGATTTTATTTTTGGTGTAATGGAGGAAAGTTTTCCCTCCAAGACAATGATTTGATGTTTCATAGATTTGGTGATAGATTTGGTAAGTGTAATGATTTGTTTAGTGTTTGTATGGTGTTTGTGTGTGTGTTAATAGGTATGGAGCAATTTTTTATTGTTTACTTCATTTTTAGCTTCAAAACTCATAAAATAAGTGAAGGGACAATTTTTGAAAGTCAACACCAATTTTTTCCTTCCTTAAATATGTTTCAAAGTCAAAATGGGTGCTATAAATCAAGACAGAGGGAGTAGCATTTTTGTATATTAAAATGTGAAAAATGGAAAAGAGCGGGAGAGCTTATGCCATTGCAAGGGGAAATTTCTCGCCACTATATAAAAATGTATGGAGCACTGCTCCATTAAAAAAGTTTTGGTGATGAACCATCAAAATATTATCACATCCATATCATCAACCCGCCGCTACATATACTTTTCAGCTGACGGTGTGTATAAATACAAAAAGAGTTCTTTCTCTTTTTTGGGTGCATGAATTCACTCTATTTTATTGAATGAAATAAATAATGTCATGAAATAAAATAGTAAAAAAATCATTACCCAGGTGCATATACATCTTTAGTTAAACGAACACATACATTTTCAAAAACCAAGCACTATTAATCATTTATAAGGTAACAACTTTGCCAAGAGTTCGAAAAAAGAGTGTCATTTTCAAACCTGGCTGTTTTGGGACAAGAGAATATCATTTCATATAAAAACTTATGATAACATGCATCATAATAGAATATATGTGCATCATCCCAATAAGTTGGTATATATGTCGTCGGTAGATATATAAGAGCATGTATAGAGGTTTGGATCAGGGAAGTTGCTTCCACTCCAGAATCGCATAGTACAGAGCATAGTTGGGGAGTAGATCACAATGGTCGAGCTTCAAGTTTGTCATCGGCGAAGTCTTATGGCCACTGTCAAACCACCCTTTGATAGCATCTGCTTCATATGTGAACCCATCTGCTGCTATGCATGGGTCCTCCATGACTTCCTGCATGCATACGTGACCCCCAAAACCAAAAAAAAAAAGAAAGAAAAAGAAACGTTATATTAATAGATCGAGAGGCATGCAGATGGTAGACCAGACAAAATACATGCATGCACAATATAAACTATGCTCCCTCCGTCCCAAATTAATCGTCTGACTTTCGTTTTTAATTACCTATACATTTCCAAACTTCCACCATATTGAGACTGGATCGTTACAAATGAAAACTTTTCTTTTACTCCGTATTAGGTACACAAACTAGTCGTTGCCTAGAATAAGGAACTGCAGCAACATCCTGTGCATCATCCTGCAAATCTCTCTAGTGGATAAAAATGAATTGGAGTTGTAACAGTTGAAGCCATAGTATGAGGCAGTCAAAGTGTTCCAAGCTGTGGTTGGGTCTCAGAGTGAGCTTCTGTTAAATACATTTAGTAATGTAAATATATTTAGTCTAAGGTTGTGTTTGGTTGGGGTAAAACATTTTCCATGAAGAATACTTTCCAAAGGAAAATAATTCCAAGGAAAATTATTCTTCAATCATATTTTTCATTGTTTGGTAGGAAAATATTTTCCTTCCACTAATATCAGAAAATAGAATCAAAATTTTCCTAGAAAATATTTTACGCCCAACCAAACACACCATAAGTAAATATTGTAGCTTCCTCTTTTGTATCTAGGGAACTATATCGATCTGTATATACTGTATTCTGTATATACTCTTTGTAGTCCTCCTTGATTATTATTATTGCAAATAATTCTTCTTTAGCTTTCTTCTTAAAAGAACATGACGATGACAATGATGATAAGGTGAGATGTCTAATGAAGATTCAAAAGTGGTCTCTTTTTGAAAAAACATTTAACAATCATTCTGGTTTGAAGGGGTCTTTTAACAGATTGTTACATGTTGGTGTTGGTGATTTCTCAAACAACTGATTTTCACACTTGCAAAAGTTTGATTGATAGTGTGTTTTTGCCTGACAATTTGACTGCGCTGCTTGCTTTTTATTGGAAAGGTGTTATGCTTTAAGTTTAAACCTAGATTTTTTATAATACAATAGTCTGTCAACATTAAGGACTTGTGTTTATTGAAAAAATTGGATCACTCTCCTATCTGATGATGTGAAAGGATGATAGATGATGTGAAATTTTACCATAAGCTTAGGTGCTTTTTATGCAAGAATGGGGGAGAAGAGGTCCATAGTAGTTGATATTCATTTTTGTCAAAAAATTGTCACCAAGTTCCACTATCTTTTATTTCTTTGTTGGCAGTATTTTTAGCAAACGAATAGCTTTCCTTTTACTGTAGAAACCAGTAGTTGTCTAAGATAGGGAGCTGCAGCATCCTACACATCATCCTGAAGCACCGTCTTGTCACAATCTTTATGCCCGAAGGGGTCTGCATAGAGAGGAATTTTAGAAATCCTATGTCCTGAGGTGTTCAGCTTGTGAATTTGAAAAGTGTTGCTTTAGCTACACAACGACACATAGGCATAAGTTAGAAAGAGTCCTAAAGCCGCAAACTTAGGAATTCTACTAACACTCAACTAGAGTTGGAAGGTTGTGGATATATAGACCAAGACTATCAACCTCTCAGGTGTCAAATATATTGTGAGAGAGAGTGTGAGAGAAAGAGAGATACGCACCATCCATCAAATCCAAGAGAGTGAATGAGAGCATGATTGTTTCTGCGAGTTGAGCTTGAATCCTTTACACTATGTTTGGTTCAAGGAATTCGAAAGGGAAAAGAAAAGAAATTGAGATAGAAAACAATTTTTCTTGTTTGGTTAGGAAAATAAGAGAAACTCATTTTCTTTTATTTTCCTTCCTAATTCCTTGAACCAAACATAGTGTTGAGTATCAAGAGATCATTTGTCAAGCTGTTGAGAAAGTGCTGAAATGTGAAGGACTGCAATCAAGTCCTTCGAGGAGGCAACGAAGAAGGTGTAATAGCCATCGTGGAGGTTTGTGTAGGGTATGAACTAGAAACCTTGTCATCACTTCTGGGAAGAGTCTTCTTGTTGTAGTGATCGGTGTAAATCTATTTAAAAGTTCAGTGAACAGCTATAACACGGACAAATCAAGAGAATTTTCTCTGAACTACGTAATCACATTGTTGTGTCTTGTTTACTTCAATTATATGCTTTCTGTGTGCACCCTTACCGTCTTTCGGGTCTCAGTTGTTATGTGTTTGTGCTATAGTATCATCTCAGTTATTGACTATTGGTGATTCGCTCTTGCGGCTCTGCTACATTTAAATTCAGGTACCCTAAATGCATCACATATATTTCACCTACCGCCTCAATACCGGCAGCATGGTACGAGATCTAAAACCGTGACCCCATCTCATTGGTCAGTGCGACTAGGATAGCAGGAGATCAACAATCTCATGTTAATATTGTGTTTCTTCTCTTTGATTTTTTGGGAATGTTTCCATATGAACCATATGTATGGTTTCCCCCGTTATACAAATGATAGTGAACATTTAAAGGATGTGCAATGGCCGTAGCCCCGAAAAACTAAGTGGACCAAAAAAGTGAAAGATTCTGTCATTACTCTTACCTTGAGAATAGGACAGATGAAATGGGAAGGGATTCTTTTTTGGCTCTTGTGCAGTGAGCAGGATGAGTTCAAATCTGAGGACAATGAGCACAAGTTGTATTTCATTGGCTCAAGCACAGGCCAGACTTCCAAAATGAGATCTGGCCTATTTGAAGAAATTGTTTGACAGCACCTCATGCCCAGAAAAGCCAACTGTTTTGCTTGCTCAATTGGCCAGTCTCCAGCTGAGAAGTCCAAGACTGTAGATAAGTTTCCACTTTCCAAAGCACAGCAAACATCCCTCACTACACCAGAGGTCAGTCTTCCTGTTAAAAGCTGCAAGACCACAATCCCAAATGCATAAACATCAGATTTTGCAGTTAGCTCACCCGCTGTAATATACTCTGGCTCCACATATATAGAAGCCTCATGGTTATCCAAAGCACAATAAAATGGATTTCCATTCTTGCAAATCAGACGATAGATGCCCAGGTCACTTATCTTGCTAACAAATTGTGCATCAAGGATAATATTAGAAGGCTTCAAGTTCCCATGGATGAGGCAAGGGATGTTGGAATGCAGAAAGATAAGGGCAGAACACATCTCAAGAGCAATTCTAATTCGATACTGCCATGGAAGGGGGCGAAATCTTGCCTGCAAGGTAAGGTGATCTTCAAGGTTTCCATTTTCAAGGTACTCATATACAACTGATCTAGATTCTGAACAGTAACCAATCAGCGTCACAATGTTTGGATGTCTCACTTTGCTCATTGCTTCTGCCTGTAATTATTAAAAATAGACAAGTCAGTCGTAACTCTTTCTTTCCCTAGTATAAGATAGGGTCTAATACAGTGATAACAGCTGTAAGGTGTCAGAAGGTGAAACATCACAAAGATGTCACCAAAGCCTTTGGTAAATCTCTTCACAACAAAACATGAGCGTGAGCATCTTTATAGCTACATTTAGACCACGAAAAATCTCTTCACAACACAACAGTGAGTCATTTTGTTTCAATTTTAAATGTTTAATAGAGCTATACCTCATATTCAAATTCTGAATCACTCATTGAACCAAATGAGGGAAGCATCTTTATAGCTACATTTAGACCACGAAAAATCCCCTTGTAAACACTTCCATAATTTCCTTCTCCAATCTTTAACGATGGATCAAAGTTTTCAGTAGCCTTAGTAATATCTGTGAAAGCAATTTCCAAAAACTTTGGGCCCAATGAGTCCACAATGTCTGGCTTTAACATCTTCTTTAATCCATCCAGTTCCTTAATCACAGTGTCACATTCTCTCTGCAATGCATTTCGTCTTGCCTTGAAGGTTTTCAAGAGTTCTACTGCTTGAATGATTTTCTCCTCTAATTCCTTCTCAGCACTGGTGGACTGTTTTATCTGATCTACCAGTACTGCCTGCATCTCGTTCATATTTTGAAGCTGTTCTGATAATCCATAATAAAGAAATTTCAATTTTTCAAGTTCTTGAGTCTGCAGAACCAGCATTTCTTCAATTTCTTTTCTTCTCTTTACCTCTACAATGCATACTTTTTCCGAAGCTTCAGCCTGTGATAAGTGAAATAAGTTTTATAATCATTTAGTGCGAGAGACTTTTAGATAATGTATCCATGTACCTCTATGAAAAAGTTAAGCAAAACATTAAACTTTGACCGTGGATAAGCCAAGTACAAATATGATCATTTACTGATAGAACTTTTTAATTATAATTCCATATCCCTCTATGGAAAAACTGCAACATGCCCAACTTAAACATTTGTCCCTACTTGTTGTGACCCTACTCTTCTTTATGGTTTGTCTCATGGGTTTTTGAAAATCTTACTGTTTGAATTTTAAAAAGGTCACAAAACATTCAATGATGTTGAGAACTGAATAAAAATAACAATGACATATATGATGCAATATTATAATTGAAAGGGAATTCATTACTAACTTAAGGGAAAATTACTGACTTAAGGGAAAATTTAACAAATGAAATCACTTGATGTAAAAAAAAGTATTATTTCGTAGCATCATAGTGATAATATTAAGGGGAAAGGAGGGATTGGAGAATTGGAGTGTTAGAAGCAGTACTCCTAATGCCACCCCATTGCAGATTACAAAGGTTGACCGATTTTATCTTCAATTCAATTTATTTGATTGCATGTGTTAAATTTGAAAATAAAATTTATATATTAAAAAACTAAATGAAATGTTATACAAAACAACACGCGTCATGACTATTCTATATTATAAAATGAGTAGTGATAATAAGTACAAAGTGAATAAAGTTTGACTCTTGGAGTAGCAAATGGTAATTCATTTCCGGACGAAGGTAGTAATATTTTGCATGTTTGACGTTTCTTGGTCAAAGTTCACAACTTTGAGCAAAAATTGAAGATATAGTATACATTCTCCATTCATATATAATGAACAATTATGACTTGTGATACATCAAAAACTGAATGAATATGGACATATATCATGTCTACATTCATTCAACTCTTGATTTATCACAAAAGTAAAAATGGTTACTAAATTGTGAATGGATGGAACAATTTGTTTTAATGTTGATATAATATCATTACATAATTTTGAAATATAGTTTTGAAATATCATAATTTTATAAAGTTTTACTTCACCACTTTCTTTTTCAAGAATGGAATATGTAGCCCTTAAAAACTCTCTCTTCCAAACAAATTCCAATCACACACTTTTTACTTTTCAACACTTTTTCTTAAACTCTGTGAAGTCAAGCCAAAAAATTTAACTGGGAGATGGACAGTGTAGTTATTATCAGTCAAAATATTGCACTCAATATCGTGAAAAGTCAACTAGGAAAAATAAATTGGGACGGTGGGAGTAGTAAACTGTATTTTAAAATATTAAGAATTCGGGTATAAACTATGTTGACTTTTTAGTAAATGAAACCTCACGTATAGCCTCCATGACATCCTCTTCAGCTCTCAATAGCCGCAATGATTCTTCAAATGATCTCTGTTTGACATTCTCCGCAGATTCTATAGCATGCTCAAGTTTAGTCCGCACACCAATAGTTTCCCTATTACTTTTGTCTTCCTACCATTCAAAATATAGTAATGATATGAACAGTTCAGTATGATATTCATCCTTAAGCATATTATGAAAATTCTAATTGTGTTATAGCGTGAAAATTAAGAAGCTAAAATAAATCGATTGTCCAATACATATGGAGCTAAAATAGCCATTATTGACAATCTTTAAGCTTTGTCATTATTGACAGTGTTTTAGCTTTGAGGAAATAATGGACTAAATCAAAACAACAACATCAACAACAACAACATTACCCCAGTGCCTCAATGGCTCCCGCCCATTGCGGGATAAGGGGGGTCGGATGTACGCAGTCTGACCCCTATATTTAAAACATAAAGTGGTTGTTTCCAGATGACCCATGATGAGCGCCAAAAGTTGCATTGACTAACTGCTACACATTGCAAGAAAGCCAAGAACCGCAGACAATTTAAAGAGCCAATTTGCTTTACTCCATCATACCCCAAAGCCAAAAAATAGTGAATCTTTGGCTCCATAGGGGAATGGAAATAATGGACTAAATCAAAAAAACACATTAAAGTTCCATTACTTCTTACTTTCTACAGAGTTTAGGGTAGCGTATGCGGCAATGCATCAAGGGTCATAACAGCCTCTCTGTTTTTACTTTTGTAAGACTGTATATCTTAAACCCTCCGCCCCAACGGAGTTGGGATTATATATTTTTATTGGGTTTGTTGTTGTTGATCAAGAACAGTCTTTGGAAGTGAATCTTTACCATTTGAAAAAACCACTATTTTCATCAGATTTCCTCCACTCATGATATTAGACTTTAGTCCACTCAACTTGGCTAGGAAGATTTGAAAATGGTGATAATAAAAAAATATTTCAATTCTAGTATTCAACCCCTTAAACGTACAAACTAGTGAAGATATTTTGATTTGACAAAATGCATAGAGGAACTACTTGATGAAAAGGTGAAGTTTATTAGCTTAGTACCCAAAACTTAATGTTTTGTAGTCTCTTGGAAGCTGATTGTCTGTGACTCAAACATCAACAGTGGAGCAATAATGCTACCCATCTAGAGCTGGTATATGTCCTTACAAGCTGAGGGAGGAGGGATGGTGACCGCAATGTATGTTTCTGGCACTGGTCTTCCACATGTAAAGGTGATATCTTCATCTCAGTCTTGATCTTCAGGGGTGTGTTTGACTTTACTCCGCTCATTCCTTTTACTAATTTAGAAGTTTCTTCCCAATGGTCAGAAGTTTCATCTGAGCCTTTTGAACTATCATGAACCATGATGGTACCTCCATTCCCTCCATTTCTTCTTTGAGAGCATAACCCGTCAGAGCTAGGTAGAACAGAGTCAACAGAATCAAATATTTTAGCCCTGTGTTTGTCAGCAAAAGGAAATACAGAGTATAATAGTGTTAGCCGATCTTGCGAAAGGAGCTCTTTAAGCTGAAAGTAATATACAACAGGTAACCCACATAATAGTATAACACAACTATACCTTGTATAAATTAAGCATCCGCTGCAAACAAACCAAATATGACAGGAGAGAGGTGCATGTTGGCACACAAATATAGCCTTATTAGACTTGAGCGCCAATAGTTTCCTGCAATCTAAATGAACCTTTCAGTAAAATGGTATTAATGGATCCGTTTTTGGAATTTTGAGTGCAGTAGTGCACTAAACCAAGTAGAACTAAAACACTTGGCAGTGAATAGAGACAGGCCAGAAACATGAATTTAACCCTCTGGGGTAAACACATCAAAAAAATCCAAATTATTTCAAGAGAAATGGAAGTATATACTTTGAGTAGTACTTCACTGCTGCTGCTCCCATGACTAGCCATCTAATATTATATTCACAAACTACTTGGACAATTCCTTTCTCAACAACATTCATTTCAAGGCAGACCTTGTCTCCCGGTATCTGAAGATATAACAGCAAAAAAAAACTGTTTATGCATAAGAAAGGTACAAAATAAAGAGTGGATAATACTTGCACAGCCTATGTGATACTAGCCACCGTGGTCTAGTAAGAAGACATCTCTCCTATTTGAAGGCTATTCTCTAAAAGATGGAAAAAGGTAATCGTTTACGCAGCGATGAAACCCCGCGTGCACTACCTAGGCATAAAAAGGAAGTTTACACGAAAGCTTACTGACAATGGCGTGAAAAGGCAGAAGCATAGGTGCAAAAGACATGAAAAGGCACAACTAAGGTGTGAAAAGTTAAGTTTTCATGGATAGATCAAATTTTGTTTAAATTTGGGCTAAATTACAGAAAAGCATTTTTCACTTGAGTAAACTTTGTAATCTAATAGTAAAACAATATACTATTTTGCAATTGCAGTTAATACTTTTAAAAACTGCATATTTATTGAAAAAGTGAAAAAATAATAGATTAATAATCTTATTTGTGGAACATTGAGTTGTAAAGTAGATAATGCAAGCATACATGAGGTAACTCCAATGATGTCATAGGATAGCTTTTTCAAACCCCAGCAACATGTGTAGGACAGGCTCTCCCATGGGCATCCTTACCATTAGATAATCTTGTATATGTTCCTAATACAGTAATAGTGCATTGGTCATGAATCTTAGGACTCTATTACCTTTTTCCTCTTGATCCAGTTGTGTGTTTGTCTTCGGAATCAACCAAGTACCCTTCAAAACCTCCTAGGCCATCCAAGTCTTTTCAAAATTTGTCATATGGTCCAAAGTTGGTCAAAGCCTTCAGGTCCATGAAGTATAAATAATCATGTTATACTCATGCTTGGGATCCATTTCGTGTCATGTCTACCACAGGGCTTCAGTATTTTATAATATTTGTAGATGATTTTTCAAGTAGTATGTGATTTTTTGTTATGAAAGAATGGTTTGGTCTATTATATATGTTAATACTTTTGTGCTCAAATTAAAAATCAATTTGTTCGTTTTATCAAAACCTTATTGAGTGATAATGCCAAAAATTTCTTACTCCCAGATGATTAAATTATGGCTGTCCATGGAATGCTCCACCAATCATCTTACGCCCAAACACCTCAGTAATATGGTTTTGTTGAGCGTAACAACCGTCATTTAGTGAACACCGCTCGTACACTCTTATCACATCCTCCTCTTTCTAAGTTTTGTTTACTCTACTTGTTGGACCGTGTTCACATTTTTCTTGTGTTGGCTGCCTCTTATGTGCAGATTGTGTCGCTCCTAATGCGGTCTTAAACAATCCATGTGTGCATGGTTTGGACGGTTTAGTACAGCTATACGAGGATTTGTCACATACTCACATGCTGTTGGTTTCTGGTGTTTGAAGACCATTGGCAAACCATTCGAGAGGGTGAAAAGTGGTGGTGGTAATGGTACATGTACAACATTGCTGGTGTTTGAAGACCATTGGCCAACTCCTCGTACATGATGAAGGCATTTCCAATGGCATAAATGGTCCATGGTACATCAAACATGGTGTCATCAATGGTGTTCAAACATTAGGCACAAATGGCAACCTCCTTTACCACCTCCTCTACCAGCAACTCCTCGGACATCATTGGTGTTTCAAACATGTGTGCCTGGTGTTCACCATTTTCATAATCCTTTTACACATGCCAACTTCAATGCTCTTCAAACACCGGCAACATAATGAGCAGCGAGGACTGGAGAAATTGCCACGCAGGGCATCCATGGTGTGGGGGGTTCAATTCCCAGTTCTGCTGTGGAATTGGCCCCTTCCTGGGCAAAGATTAGTAGTCAATGTTCTGAGACCCTAATCATCGTCTGAAGCACATCCCGTGATTTACCTCCCCCACCATTCCCGAGGGCACTAGTAGGCAATGTCTCACTACTATCCCTGTTGACCGTTACAGTTCTGGATTTTACCAACATCATACAGGTAACAATTGCATATATGTGATAGTGTACGTTGATGACACTGTCATTCCAAATAGTAATGAAGAAACCATTACTTACCTTAAACTCTCGAAAAATATTTCTTTAGAAAATTTAAGATTAAGGATTTGAGAAAAACGCCTTGTGGCAATCTAGCCATAGGCCATATGGGTGTCTCAGTTATGGCGCAAGAAGGCTACGCAATGAGGCATACGCAATAAGGCGGAAGGAGGCATACACCATTTCTGATAAAAAAGAATTAAGATTAAGTTTAAATTAGTAATTTAATTAGAAAAATTTAAACGTTTAACTCCTTTTTTTCTTTTATTTGTTTTTATTCATTAATACTTTTTTAGTGATAACACTTTGTTCACATTAATTTTCTATTACTTTAGTGCTTTTAATTTGTATTTATGCCATGTTGCCATTAAAACTTGAAATTTTCATGTACATAAATTTTAGTTTTTTCTTTTTAGAAAAATAAATTGCGTAAACATCGGACCTAGCATTTGACAGTTTAAGTCTATTCCTTACAACCAATTTTTTGTACTATGCCATGGTAGACTTTGTTGCCTTTGAAACACCATACTTTAACAATATACTTCTTTAATGTTTATAGATTAATCATTCTATTAATAATGTTCTATCTTTAATTTTAATAATATTTTATGCACATCATACTATCCTAGTACTTTAAAATGAGGCTTACGCCTCAATACACCTCGAGACTTATGCAATACGTCTTGGGGAAAAACGCCTCAATACCGCAATACACCATTGTCTTGCTTTTGTCTTCTTTGTGGCGGTTACCTTGCAATCTCCGTCATAGAGGAGTATGGATCTTCAATAGGAGTATGAATTTTGAGCCACTGTACCTGTAGCTATGGATTTTGAGGACTATGGATTTTTGTTCTTACACTTCATCACTCGATGCTCACTGCAACTTTTATCCTTCTCCATCAAGGATTTGAGCCGCTTAAAGATTGACTTTTGGGATCTTAGATATAGAATTTGGGGTCTTAGATTTGAGATTTTAAATTTTGGGATTTTATATTTGGATTTAAGGCTTTAAGCTTCTGTCTATTAGTTTGTTGACAGCATAAACAAGCCATGGCCTTGTTGGTGGGTGAAGAAAGAGTAAAGGGCATTTTTGGAAAGTCAAATGACATTTTCATCATGCATAATCTGTGTGCCGAGTGAGGGAGTACTATATGAAGAAAAAGGTCATAGCAATGTTCTGAGATATTGTGATGCTCATTGGCTGAAACACCTACTCAGAAATTTGAGATATGGAAATAAAGAACTTGTTCAGTTAATGTGTGATAATCGAGTAGCAATACACATTGCATCAAATCCAGTATATAACGTGAGAACCAAGCACATTGAACTCGATTGTCACTTTATCTAAGAGAAGATCTCTTAGTCACAAACATCGTTGTTCATTATGTCTGCACTAATAATCAACTTTTAGACATCTTGACAAAATCACTCAGAGGTCCCAGAATAAAATACATTTCTAACCAAAATGGAGCATATCATAAATACGCTCCAACTTGAGGAGGAGTAGAATATTGAGTTGTAAAGTAGTTGATGTAAGCATACATGAGGTGATGATTCCCACAGTGTGATTGCAAAGAAAGAAGATTGAAGAATAGGTAAATCCTCTCTTGATTAAATGGAATGAATAATGTCTACTTGAATAAATGGATTGATACAAGAGCTATATATGTAGATGAAAGCAAAGACTAGCTAAATAAAAGGAGAAAAGAAACTGAATGTAACAGCTGTGACCGACTAATTAACAGGATAGAAACTAACTAATATATTCCAACCCTGCCCACGAGGGTGCGAGAACCCCCAACGTGGCACGATTTTTGTGATGGAGGGCTCCTGGTAGACTTGCTAAATGCTCCGTACGTTAGATAGCTGTTCAGACGTAGGAACATGTGTGAGAGTGATGAGACCTTGAAGCTTTTCACATACGAAATAACAGTCCAACTCTATGTGTTTCGTACATTCATGTTGATGCCATTTAAAACGAAAGCAAAGAAAGAGAGAAGATACAAAGAGAATTGAAAAAAAATGGAGGAGCTATTACTGAATCGCAACTAAAAAGGATTACCATGTTTGATACCATGCTGATTCCTACAGTAAGATCGCAAAGAAAGAAGGAAAGATAGAAGAATAGCCAAATCCTCTCTTGATTAAATGGAATGAATAGCTTCTACTGGATTGATACAAGAGCTATATATGTAGAGGAAAGCTAAGACTAGCTAGCTTAAAGGAGAAAAGAAACTGAATGTAACAACCGTAAGAAACCAACGAACAGGATAGAAACTAAGTAATCTATTCCAACATGAGGTTGTCCTCATGATGTCATAGGATAGCATAGGATAACCTCTTATTTATACCCTTGTGTTCTTAATAAGTTGATATGATATATACACTGCTGTGATCTCGATTATTCACCACAATAATAAAGATACGAAATGCCTTTCAAGGTTTAGGCTTCACCTATGCTTCCAAGGCTCAAGGCTAAGCCTTGCCAAGCCTCGTGCCTTTCAGAAGCATGCTTGCATGATGACCCATGTTTATATCCCCACAGAAACAAATTATGCAACAAATCTCAGAAGAACCCTTTCTGGCCCACTAACTCCTGTTCAAAAAAGGAGACGTAGACCTTGTCCTAAAAAGTATCGTTCTGACTGATGCAATGACCTGAGCTAACAGCCTGAATGCTGAAACTGGTCCATTCTTTGGATATACAACCAATAACTTAAATTTCAACAAGAAGGTCTAACTGATATAAAAACTACTTTTGGTAGATTATGAGTTTATGACTCACCAATTACTTGGAATAACTTCTTGAATTGTTTATAAACAGTTCGCTGATTACTTGCCTCTCTAGTCTCTACTCTTAGTAGCGGTAAGGTCTGGTTACACACACCCTCCCTAGACCCTATTGTTGTGGGATTCTACTGGGTTGTTGTTACTGTTGTTTATAAATAATAAAAAAAGAAACCACCTCATAATCAATCAATATTCCACATATTTAGAGACATTTTAATAATTAGAACATTTCCATTATCCACTATACAGAATCGATTTAAGTTGCAAGTGCACTATATCAGGAAGCAAACATACCCCTGCTTGGCATAGAAAGAGAAGGTACTGATTCATGAGTTTGTTCATCCTCTGTCGTTCGAGTTCCTGGCAAGTCGTCACTACTACCTGTTTCAGTTTGGTGTTCAAGAGCTTTCCATCCACTGAAAGTTGGCAGAGAGGTATAACTATACATTCACGTTCAGATAAGAGTATTTCAAAAATACAAGTTGGAGTGAACATATTAACAACGTAATGGTCAGGATCCATACTTTGGGATATACATATGTGCGGGAAAATCATTGTTGGGATGAAAATGATATCTCTTTAAATGTTTTTCTTCCCCTAGAACATATCTCAGGTTTCTACTATACCATGTCACAAATTCACATCAATCGACACTAAAATACAGCAGTTAGCAATATTCTTCAAGACAATGAAGACATAATACTCCTTAATCCCAAAAAAACATCGATGAACAACTTTTTAGCTTTGGAAAGGAACGACTGTTGAAAATAATCAATTATAACTAGCATATTCTAAAAATTATTTGCTCGTCTAACTAAATTTAACATAACTAACTTGTTTTGCAAACTTTTTTTAATGAAAAAAGTTGGATAATTATGAAACTGTTTTCACTGGCAAATGAGGATGAGAGCAATTATAGGAATTGAGTGTACAAGTAAAAATTGAGAGCAATAATGAGGATTCACATATTATGGATGCTATGGAGAAGATGGATCTTACGAGTAGAGAGTAATTGAGTAGGCTGATGAACATGAAGAAGGCAAATTCTCCTCCCAGTCCCAGCAAAGTTGTTCAGAGCCCAAGAAAGTACTGATTTGCCCTCCTTCAAATTCTTCCCGACTGCGACATAAATTGCGTTATCAACATCACAGACTCCTTCACCACCCATCCCTAAATCAGTTCTTGAATTAGTCTGAAATGCTTGCTTGCCAACCGTTCTTAAGTTATGATATGGGGGCTTTATAACATCGTTTTGGCTGTGGAGTGTGGAACCAGAAATGGTCATAAATAGAAAGAAAGAAAGAAAAAATTGATGAATCAAATGCTACTACAGTTGGCTGGAAATATAGGTTAAGTAATCACAGTTAGAAAACAAAAAAGCTTATAACCTTGAAGTCTACTACTACAATGGAGCTTGGAGCACCCAAGTAAATTATGATTAAGTACTGTAGTCCGTAAATGCCTTAAATGGATGCTCCCAACTTCTCCAATTAGCTTTTTAAACTACGTCGGAAAAAAATGCGGTGAAAGGCTCAAAGGGCTTGACTGATTTAAAATGCCATTAACCCAATCAATAGTCAAAAAGGTACCCTCAATTTTAAAATATGAGTATTCTTAATTTTAAAAATACATTGTCAGTTACTTCAAATTATTCAAAAATTAATATATGAACTATTGAGTATTCTTAATTTTAAAAATACATTGTCAGGTACTTCAAATTATTCAAAATTGTACCAATAGGAGCCATCTTCAATTGCTCGGTTAATTTTAACTTTATCATCATCATCCACATCATCGCATATTCATCATAATCATCATCATTATTTGATTTTCCTCCTCCGATCCAAACCCACAGCCCTCCTTTTTTTTCTTTATTATTATTATTATTATTATTAGTAGTAGTAGTAGTAGTAAAAATAATTATTGTTTTACTATTTTTTTGAGGAAAATATTGTTTTACTACTCTAATTCTAAAAGCATACTAATGCCCTACCAAAAAAATTGTATATCCCCAATTAGCTTTCCCAATCTCTACTTGTGTAAAAAAAAGACTAAAATATTTTAAATCTTTAATAAAAAATTAGTTTTAATGATTAATTTATGTACTCTCTCCGTCCCAAATTTAATTATAAATTGCAATTTACGAAGTAAGATACCGTATCTTTTGAAATCATTTTATTTACAAATTTTTACATCAATAAAAAAAAATTACAAACTAAAAAACTACATCAAAAGTTATACAAGATAAGAGGTGCCAAAAATATTTCATTTTATCAATTAATCAATGAAAATACTCAAATAAATAAAAGTTATCGAGAGGTGAGAGAAAAAAGATTGAAATCAAAATTGGAACGGAGAGAGCATAAGTGTTGCAATGATTCTTTTTCCTCATATTGATTTAAAAAACTTAAAATACCGACCTTTTAATTATATGATTAAAAAATAAGATTCGTCTCATCCATAATTCCAACGACCCCCCCCCAATGATTATAAAAAGTTATTATTCTTTCGTGCATTATTAAAAAACAAAATCTTAAATTAGTGATCCTAAATCTCTATGATTAAAATTTTTAATTTTAAAATATTAAGATTAAATTATTCTTCTCCCCCGGCCCCCCATATTGATTGTAAAAAACATTAAAATATTAGTGCTCCAATTATTTTGTCGAGATAGTATTCTGGTCAAGATATAAAATGTCCTATCAAAATACAAATAGCTACAAATTGAAAATTGTATTTTCTTTGGTGTGGTTGTAACTTGTAACTTAGTCTCGAACTTATTAGTTATTGCACCTTAGATTTTCTGTACAGTTTTTCTTACTTCTTTGATTATCTTAGATGTTCATTGTCACGGATCTTCTCATGCTCCCTTCCACATCTTGATCTTATTTATCACAATCTTATTTGCATAAATCTATGTTGTCTCATAGCATATCATCCTATGAGTTTCTATGTACGATTGCGTAAATGAAAACGTTAGAAATAAGTCCTCTCTCATTCAAAATTTCTTAATTTTATGTATAAGAATTTTGAATTGTAACACAATATAAGTATATACTGAGTAAATCGTAAGTTACAATATAAAGTTATTTTGATTAAAATAGTAAAATTTGGAGCGGTTGATGAATGCCTTCTGGTGGCACGGGAAAGGAAACTCGGACAAGGGTATTAATTGGCTCTCTTGGAAGCGTATGTCGGTCCCTAAAAAATTTGGGGGTCTCAGTTTTAAACATCCCCACGGGTTCAATATTGCTAAGTTGGGAAAGCAAGGCTAGAGATTCCTCACTAGACCTGATGCATTGGTGTCTCGGGTCTTCAAAGCAAGGTACTTTCCAACCACTTCTTTTCTTGAGGCTAAGTTGGGGGGGTACACCTAGTTATTGTTGGCGAAGCATTTTTGCTACCCAACCCCTTATTAAGGCAGGGGCCCGCCGTAGAATTTGCAATGCTTCTGACACTCTCGTTTGGGACAGTCCGTGGCTTCCAGACGGTGCTGATTTGCGGGTGTGCTCCGATCCGACCACTCATTGTCCTAATTTCCCAATTTCATTTCTTATTAACAGAGAGAGCGGTTTCTGGAACCTGGAGCTACTGCATCAGCTCTTCGGCCAAAGGGACATTGATTTGATCCTGAAAATTTCTCTAGATATCAATAGAGGTGATCAGTGGTTTTGGGCTGGGCAGTCGCATAGACATTACACAGTGAAGGATGCCTATCATAAATTCATGGGTGAGGCAGATTTGGTACTTGGTTTTTCAAACTGGGGACGTCTTTGGAAGATCCCGGTGGCCATGAAGGTGAAGATTTGCTTATGGCGCGCTCTTCGAGGTATTCTCCCAACCATCCCAGCTCTAAATTCTAAAGGTTTGGATCTTGATAATTCTTGTCGGGTGTGTGGCCAGTACGGGGAGTCACTTGAACATGTCTTTCTCCGATGCCGATTAGCAGATGGAGTGTGGAGGAGTCTGCATATTGGAGGAGATAGAAATCTGACATTTGGGGCATGGTTCCAGCGGTAGTCGGAGATTTGTTCCCTTGAAGGGCTACAGGTTGTGGCTTGGGCTATTTGGGCGCTCTGGAAAACTCGAAATACTGCTGTCTTGGAACAGGGTGTGGTAATGCTGCAGGCTGTGGTTCAGATGATACACTCCATGGTGGAAGGATGGAGGAGTAGGTTTGATGCTATTGGACAGGAGGGAGCCGTCCTTCCCCTGCATGTTCGTCGGCCAGGTGTGTTGCAATGTTTTGTGGATGCAAGCCTTTTCTCGCAGACTGGACGTGTTCGAGGGCCAATTTCAGGCAGCGTGTAACGGACCTCTTTGTTGTGTTCAAGATCCATTGGTGGCGGAAGCTTTGGCATGTCGTGAAGTACTTTTGTGGCTTAGACGGCATGGTGTGCGTGAGGTCGAGCTCTTTTCGGATTGTCTTAGAGTGGTGCAGTTGTTTTGTCAAGAGGTTAGTCCCGATATTCCTTCATACTTTGGGGGCACCATTGATGGGTGTAGGGCTATTTTAGTTGAGTTTGATTTCATTTCTATTTATTTTGTTCGTCATTCTCTCAATCATTTAGCTCATGTTTTGGCTAGAGGGTGTGATACACATTTTGTTCGTCATTCTCTCTTAATTATTGATGATATATATATACATACATACATACATACATACATACATACATACATACATACATACATACATACATACATACATACATACATACATACATATATATATATATATATATATATATATATA